CTAGTGCATCTAGGGTGCTTGTCAAGTACTTGAACAATCAGACAAGGTCACTATTAAGGTTTTCATCAAGAGAAACCTTGGCCATTGTAGAGCATAGTTTAAAAGCAGGTCACTTATATTCCTCACAAAAGTAGATATCTCATATATATATAGTCTAGATATATGGTATGTTGTTATTAGACTATAATATAGATATCAGGGAAAAGCTCCATATTAAATTAACCATAGTTAAGCATAAATATAGCTATATTTTTGCGAATTACAATTAAGGATTTTAGCTTACCCCCTCTCTAATTCTGAAATTATAAGATCTAATTAGAGCTAATTAAAGCTAATTTATTATATGGACTTTTGGAAAAATATCAACCAACCCAGTTCTATGGTTTCTCTACTATTACCACACCTCCAATCATAGAGTATGCATAAAGCTTACTAATCAAACTAAAGTCGCACCTTATTATAAACTTGCCCATTACTAGAAATGAACCAACAATCTTATGCCTGTATATCCTAGACTAGTGCTCTAAACTACTAAGCCACACGATCTAAATTATTTACCTGGTAACCTAAATATATTGATATGAATAAGGCCTTCTCAATATTTCTGATTTTCTTAGATATTTATCTTTTATCTATCCTATATATAAAGAGGTCAATAAATGCCCTGAAAATTAGGGCTGATATTTGAATATAGGCACTAGACAATGATATAGTAAACTAATAAGAAATAATGAATACAGTAAAAATGAGGTTGTAGCACTTACACAATTTAGATTTAAAATGTGTAAAATTGTAATTGGATTGTAGATTCCGATGGGACTATAGTAGTATAGACAATGTTACTTTTACTTGTAGATTTGATTATAAAATTGATTATGGATAATATATGATTAGCTAAGATTAGTATTTTGAATAATCAGATCTAATTAAAAGAAGATGTTTTTCTAGGTAAACTTAAGAAAAAGAAGAACCTTGCAGTCTCTTTTGACAAAATTCACTGACATCTCCTCAATATTAATAATATATGGGCATCTACTCTTACTATCTCAAGGACTTACAATAGAGATCATGAACAAAGTGAAGTGTAATCATTACATATAGGTCATACAAGAAGATTAGGCTATATTGGAAGCAAAGTACTTAGGAACCCATTTTTTCCTAGCACAATAGAACTCCTATTAGCCATCTATAAGGCATGTTAGAATAGGGAAGCAGAGAGAAGAGGAGCAGATAGGCAGAGAGTGGCAGATAGTGGAGAATAGAGAGAACAAGAGTGGGAAATGCCATAGACATTAGTCAGCAACATCCCCCACAGTAGCCATAGGATGTACGGTAGAGGGACATTGATGAGATAAAGTGATACCACTGACGATCCCTGCCCATTCCATCTTAGTGACAAGAGTGCAATTTGCAACAATGCATTACTGAACCATTGCTACTACAACTGCCAACAAGAAGTCACGCTGGCACCGATACCCTCAGAAAACCACAGTATCAAACAACAGTTGAACAACCCCACATTATATATTAGAGACTTACATGTACAATTCCTACAGAGACTGCCCACAGCCACATAATCCCCGCACTCCTCTTCCACATTCTCCACATTCCCATCGACACCATCTATCTTCACATCTATTAAATTTTCATTCCACAACTCCACCAGCATTTCTTGTAGCAAAACCCCAGACAAATACAGCCTCTAGCCTACTGTAACACACATTCCATCACAACTGCTGCTACCCACTGGATTCATCACACCAACAATCACCACATCTGCCATCCTAGCTCCTATAATCCCACCACACAAACCACACATGACAGAAAAGGTTGAACTGTTCTCAGGCAACTTAGGGGCTGCAGAGAGCTCCCAAGAATTCCTTTATCCATTGAAACATATACACTTCAACACTGAAGAAACCCTCGCAATCAGCCGATTCCTGTTCTATGTCAAGTCCAGGCACAATACAGATGACTGGTTTAATGGCCTAACAGCAGCCCAAACTGCCAACTAGATGGATTTTAAAGCTGCCTTTTTGGAATGATGGCCGAAGTCAGAACATACTCAAAAACAACAAGGAGAATATGAGGATGAAATCTTAAAACTTAGGTTTTGAGACAAAGATTTGGGCAAAAAAGTTGATAACAGAGGAATCAAGGTTTAGACCCATGTAAAATGGGCAATGATGCCTTACAACTCATAATACAAGCTGGACTAGCTGCATCCTCCTCGTACATCCAATCTGTCAGACAGCACCTTTCTGACATCCTGAAAACCGAGATCGGGTTCACACACACCAATTGGACGGCATTCATGAAATCCATATGTGGCATTAATATGGAAGCCATTTTTGATTACATTGACCATATGGCAATCAAAGCAAAGGACAAAACATGCCTGTGCACCATGATACAGACAGTCACTAACAATTGCCCTAGTAGATTTTGAGCCCTTCCCTTTATAACACTCCCTGTCCAGCCAATACCCATACAGCCTAGTATAGTACCTAGCATCCCCAGCCTGCAATGCACAACTAGTGGATATGCCAATGCCCCATTCACGGGTGTTCATGTAAATACATTCATACCATTCAACAAGGAGTGTCGGCCGCTAGGCAGGCAACCCCTACCTGAGACCAAATGCTGCAACCTCAGCTGCCTCCTCAACCTCCTCCCATACTGCCCCGCCACAGTCAATAGCACTACATTCTGCCCCGCCACAGTCAATAGCACTACATTATATAACCAACAAGTTGTCAACTGGACTGCCCTCCATGGTCCTGGTAGCCGAGCCTCCACATCCAACCTATACCCCCTGTGCCCTGGAATGGCTAAACTGTGCTTGGGGGAATGCTTCAAATATGGCACTCATAGCCACTACAGTTTTAATTGTCAGATACCTTACGACCTGTAATTACTACGCAATGAGACGGCTTGGCGTGCATTGTGCAACTGTGAGCTTGGCATCATCTGCTTACCAAACGCTGCCACTACCAACGCCACCGCAGTCAACCTTGTATATATCACAGATGGAATGGGAAGGATGCATCTTGGTGAATACAATGACAAAGTAAAAAACATCAGTGATGAGCAGGGAAATGGGGAAGGGTCATCTACATAAAAGGCCAACAGATGACCCTAGAATTTAAGACTCCCATCAACAGACAATGGGCCCTCAGACATATTGCTGCAATGCCCAGGGGCGGCACCACAAAAGACACAGATACCACTCCAACCATCATGTCTAATACTTCTTTTGTATGAGCAATTGATATCATTGACCTTTATTCTGTGCTCTCCTAAACCACCCAAACCACCTACCAGCCCTTTATCTAGTCCATGTCTCTTATCAATTCAAAAAACCCCGAATGCACATTTCAAGCATTACTGGATGGCATTCCTCCAAATAACATTTACGCATGGCTGATGGCACTGTTGTACTATCCTTAGCAATGTGGCAAGGAACTATATGCTTTGGAGGCCTACAGCACTTTGCTATTTTCGAGGTATTCCAAAATAATGGTGATAAGCATGCACCCATGCTAGGGTCTGAGGAAGGTATTCAGGAAGCTTTTGGGAGATACCGAACAGCGCTCGACAAGTACCAAAGATGCTGACTTGCACCAAACACGGTTGGTCCCCACCCGACCGACTGCAACCCTCCAAAGGACGTTTGGCAGCACTTGGGTCAGTTTGCCCATATGTCATGTACTTACCATGACTGCATAGGAGTGTTACGATAGGTGTTTACGAGATCAGAGCTGGTATTCCGTGTCAACCAATGTGCTCCGTGAGGCGGTCGGTCCTTATCGCTTATCTTCCCGACTTCCACATGGTCGGTCAAACGCAATCTTGCACCATGACTTGGCCACCTTGGTCATACATTACTTCTTCTTTATTGCTATTGGCTCGCCAACACCTGTTCCAGCCACCTGCACTTGGGCGACAGATCCCAAATGTCTGGGATTTTGACATCACTGATTACCTTTTTACCTTATTACCTTCGGAACCCATATAGATATCTTACCTACCTTCTTATCTTCTCTGATCGCTGGGGCTTGGCGTCCATTCGACATCTACTCTCATTTCGTGTTCGAAATTTCACTTAGGGGCACTGTTTACTATAAAAAACCTACATACAACTCTGGAATAAACCAGCTTTTGCATCCCACAGTTTAGAGCTCATTTGCACTCATCTCAACCATCGAAATTGTCTTTGTCAACTTCTGAAAACTTGTCATCCTCATCATTCAGCCTCATTTGCATTTGTACTTGTCTCTTCATTCGTACCCCCCCATCCTCCCTTGTATATTGTCAGAGTCCCATGTGGCTCTTGAAGCACGTAGTTGTTAGTTGTGACACTACCTTCTTGTTACCGACCGAGTCCCCAACATGACCAATCAAATGTTCAGTCGGTGTTTGGCGCAGTCCTGAAACTATTTGGGTGCTATAATCTCACACTCCCCATTGCTTCTCCTTATGCCTTCAATTTCTAAAGTCATTACTAATAATTCCTTGTGTATTAGATACTAGCTCCAGCACCCCTGCATTAGAGGTTGTTTTAGTATTGTGCTCGGCACTTAGAACCACCTCTAGTGTATTATTTTGGAGCCCACCGCGAGGGGTTAGTATTCAAAATTACTTCAAGGAATCTACATCGCTCGTCCTGACCAACAGCGGAGCGCAAAGAATGACAAACAGTTATTGACAGCTTCAATACTCAGGAAACATCTGCCAACCAAAGTTTGTTCGGAGATGCCGATATAGTCCCAGAACATTTATCCCACCATCACTACCTTGATCTCGAATCCTTACCATTGCTCTCGCCGCCACCCAACTCCACTTTCTTCTTAACCCCACCGTTGTTGCCAAACCAATTGCTACTCCCACTGATTTCCCCCATCCTTGATCTTGCGCTTTTAGAACAATCACCCCTGTCTCCTATACCATCTCCCCATAACTCCATCTCTCCGTTAATCCCACGCAGCCCCGTCTTCTGGATGCCGACCATCCGACCAACATCACTAGAATGCTCCTTCGAACCAGCAACTCCATCCCTGATCACCTTAGCAAACAATATATTTTCTCCCACCTTTGACTTTCTTACTATGGCAACCCCATCCATGCCTGCTCGTGGAGATCAAACGGCCCCGACCTTTGACCCCCATCAACCCTGCAAATTGAGACGATATTTCGCCAATCTAGACTTCCACTTTGGTTGGTCAGCGATAGAAGACGAACAGGAAAAGAAGAAACATGCTTGCTGATTCCTGGACGTCGACACTTGCAAGCTTTGGGAATCACTCACCACTTTCACTGATGCCACAAAGACATTCAAGGAGTTCTGCGAAGAAGTCTACAGATTGTACCCCGGATCGGAGGAAGAGCGCAAATGGTCGGTATCAGATATGGACAAGCTAGTTGGCGAAACAAGCAGGGTTGGCATCTTGTCTCTCAGCGAACTTGGCAACTATCATCGGCGATTCCTGGCAATCATGGTATTCCTCCTTAGCAAGGCACAAATCTTGGCTGCCGAACAAGAATGTGCCTTCGCTAGAGGATTCCAACTGGAGCTATGGGCAAGAATCTTGCAATGTCTACAACTCAAGTTCCCCAATCATTTCCCAGACGGCCCATACAACCTCCAAGACATCCATGACACGGCCCGATTCATTTTGCACGGCACCATGTCCGCCTACAACACAACCTCTACCGACATCTCTCAAGCAGCCCCCGCTGTGCCACCCACCAATGCAATCAAAGCCAAAGACCTGGCAACCATGTTTGAACGACTCACCAACACCTTTGTCAAGTCCATCGCAGCTCAAGGGATGTCCAGGCCAGCCAATCGACCATCCCAACAACCAGGACAAGGCGGCGACAACTGCATGTTCTGTGGCAGTCCCGAACACTTCATGTGCACCTGTCCCGATGTCACCAAATATATTCAGATCGGCAAATGCAAGCGGAATATCGAGGGGAAGGTTGTATTGTCAAGTGGGGCATTTGTACCCAGAGAAATCATAGGTAGTAACCTAAAGGACCAAGTTGACAAATGGCATCGCAGGAATCCAGGACAGTTGGCAACTGGACAGATGATATTCATGGTAAATGCGGCGCCGACTCACCTGATGATAATAGCCTCCTGTCACGATTCCCCCTCATTGCTGGATATCACCCCAACTTACCAACTCACCAATGTCCAGCAAATTGCGAGCCTCAAATGTGAACTATTCGCACTCTGAACGTGGGGCATGAAGGCATGCAAAATGGCGCAGACAAGATGTTCGGCACCTACCCCTTCACCGGTCCCCGAATGACAAGTGATGACCGAAACTCTGGAAACCGAACCCTAACCGACCACCCCAACTCAGTGACCACCCCCGGTACCAGCCAAGGACGATGCTCCAATCCACCCATATGCCAAAGCCCAAGACGCCACCTATGCACCGCCACATAAATGCAACATGGGAGCCCCGGCAAAGATACCCTTGGCAAAGAAGGACGCTCCGGCCTACAAAACCACGGCGCCGATCTATGACGAGAAGGTAGCAGCTAAGGTCTACAACAGGGTGATGGCCACTCAGGTGATGCTTACCCAGCGCAAACTACTCTCCCTCTCCGCCGAAGTCCGTTTGCAGGTCAGGGAAGCCACGTCAGCATGCCGATCGCCTGCCAAAGATGCCAGCAATGTTCGGACCTTCTACCAAGATGCCAATCTACCCTATGCCATCGACGACCTTGAACCACTGACTCAACTGACTGTCTCCTCCTTCATCAACATCCTGCACCAACCGGAAACACCTCCGCCTAGTGCAATCATCATCCCCAACATGTACGAAACATATCTGAAGAATCTACAGCCCAGTCAGGTTCCTCAGCCATTGATAGTTGCTAAAGAATTGTCTGCCCTAAGGTCTATTGTTCCCCTTGTTGATCATCAGCAGGAAGTCGAATGTGTCATCGATCCAGGTTCCTAAGTCATTGCCATGTCGGAAGGCATTTGCAACAAACTGGCACTCATCTATGACCCTGAAATCGTCCTCAATATGCAGTCGGCGAACGGCGAAATCGACCAATCCTTGGGCCTGGCACACAATGTGCCATTCCTCATCGGCGACACCACCCTGTACCTCCACATCCTCATCATTTGGAATTCAGCCTACGACGTTCTCCTCGGTCAGCCCTTCAACATCCTCACCAAAAGTATTGTCAAAAATTATTCAAATGAAGACCACATGATCACCATCAGCGACCCGAACAAGGGACAACGAGCCACCATTCTGACGATCAGACAAGGACCGCCTCAAGTCCTTCACTGAAGACAAGTGGGTTTTCGCGACTCGATGAATTGACCCGAGATCAAGGAAAAGTTGCACTGATCATTTCCACCAATCATGATACCCCCAATTTCCCACTTATTGAAGCATCCTCAGATTTCCATTCTCCATTTCCCTCTCATCGCGATCTCTGTCTCAAATACATTATGGCCTCCGATTTGGGGCCCGAAAATCATCTCAAAAACAATCTCGATTCTGATATGTCATCCTTATTTTCCTTAGTTGTCCCCGGTTCTTTCCATTCCACTAATACCGCCGACCCAGTCGCCATCTTCACCGCCAAGCGCAAGTACAAACTGGTTGCTCAGAAAACACGACCAGTCTTGGCCGACCTCCCCGAAAAGTTCCGAATCATTCGGAACATCCTTAGTGACCCTCTCGCTGCCCTTCCGACACTAACACCGAACCCCCCACCCTTTGCGCCGACCGGCAGATACACAGCCGAACGACGCGACCTCATCGACAAAGTCCACTCGGATGACTTCCTTTGGCTGGCCGAACAACAGCTCATGCACCATTTCATGTGTTTACAAGAGATGGGATTCGCCTGGGACAATTTGGAATACGGACGTTTCCGCGAGGACTTCTTCCCACCAGTCAATATGCTGGTAGTTGAGCACAAGCCCTGGGTGCAGCGCAACATCCCGATTCCACCAGGCATCTATGACAAAGTGTGCCGACTTATCAAACCAAGATCGCTGCTGGAGTCTATGAGCCATCGAATTCTTCCTACCAATTGCACTGGTTTACAGTCCTCAAGAAGACAAATAGCACCTGTTATGATCACGTTCTATCGGGCCTACACGGCGGTCTATTCCGATACGATCATCACAAATATCACGCGGCCTCACAGGTTGAGGCGTACACCAAGGTACAGATATTAACCTTGGTCATCCACTCCCAACGGATCACCTTATCGTTGGTCGAGTATCACGGGCCTATTGTATTAGCGGGCATGGAACGCCGCCTTATAAATTACTCACACGCAGGGCATGAACCTCCTAGTCTCTCCTGGCCGGAAGGGGACCAACGGAGAAGCACAAGAGTAGTCGTTATTGAGAGAGACGACTTAGAGAATACCTACAGATACATATTCGGTATTCCCACGCCCTACTTCCCAAAGTAGTATAAAAGGCCCATAGAATAGGCTGACGATCTTCAGTCTATTCTCTTCGTTCTCCTGTATCTCCACATACAGGAACCTTCGTTCAGTACTGTCTTCCTACAGTACCTTTCATTGCTATAACGCAATACACTTCTGGCTCCTGTGCTACACGTACAGTTGAGACCACCGTTCCACACATCCTCCACGAGTGACCTAGGGAAGAACCTCCTACTCTTGGGGTTACCGACGAGCAGTCGTAACACTAGAATAGACTCTTCTGCCCCTACCTTGCTCGCACCAGCTTGCTGCCACACCCTCTCTCATAACCTTGCTCAGTGGGGATATAGACCCCCATTGAGAAAGCGTTACTGCACACACTCTGGAGCAAGACCTAGGCCAGGAATACCCACCCGGCACTAGACGTATCAATAACCAACTCCGTCACAACAATCGCCCTATCCGGCGCGAAGGGGACTTCTGGGTCTACGAAGACAATAACAGAACTGCCCCTCCGAATTACGATAACTGCTCATACCGAAACGGGCGTTATTACTTCACCCTTGAAGACGGAACAGAAGAAGAGGATATTTGGAACGAAACAGAAGCTCAGTGGGAACTAGCCCCACAATACAGGGAACCGGCGCCGGTAATCCCCGAAGACTCGGAGCAAGAGGAAACAACCTCGGAATCAGACTCCGACTCACCAGACCAAACACCGATCAACACCCGAAACGAACCACTCGCCGAAATGTCGGGACAAGCTTCGACTTCTACAAACACCCCTTCCGCGACAGTACAACCCGGAAGAGGAAAAGTCAAACTCCCAGACAATTACACAGGCGACCGCATTGAATCCCAGAAATTCATGCTCCAATGCCTCCTTCTTTTCGCAGCAGAATCCGATCGGTACAAGACCGATCAAGACAAAATATCCCTTGTGCTCTCATGCATGAGATACGGCACGGCGGGAGCTTGGGCGGAGAACTTCCTCCTCAAATCAGTAGGAGCAGACCCACCTACCGATCTAGGCACCTGGAAGGACTTTTTAGCCAAGTTCAAATTACAGTTCAGGGAGACAGGCAAGACCGACAAGGCACGAAGCGCACTTATGGCCTTCTCCCAAGGACGAATGACGGTTGATGAATACTCCAACCAATTCATTCTCATCGCCGCCGATGCCGACATCTCCGATAAAGAGCAAGTCCCTTACTTCCAACGCGGACTAGACCCGCGCGTCATGGACAAAATATATGACAAGGAAGTTCAGCCAAAGGATACGATTCAGGACTGGATCAATACAGCCTGCGAAATAGATGGACGACTTCGAGCCAGAACAGCTCAAAAGGCCATCCTCGCCAACTCCACCTCCTTTCGAAGCGATTATTTGAATCGTTTTCATAACCAAGTCTCTCCCCGCTACAACTCCACAAACGCCCCTCGCAGAATGAACAACCAAGTTGTTGACATGGACATTGACGCAACGCGCAAGCGCAATGCCCTTAGCCAAAAGCGGAAATATGATGGCAAGCGAGCCACCTCTTGTTCAAATTGTGGAAAGATAGGACACTCTAGCGCTAACTGCTGGTCGGCCCGCAGAGGCGTTCCACCAGTTCGAGGAAACTCGAAGAGACGCTTGGGTACGACAGGGAGAGGAAACCGCGCGGTCGATCTTGAAGGAGAAGACGACGCATCCGCTATGGGAGACCAAGCGGGAATATATCGAGGAATGGAGACAGAGGATGTTCATCGCGACAACCAGCGGGTACCACAACCTGGTCCTTCGATGGAACGTCCTCACTCTACCCCATCCGGACGACCCCAGACGAACCATGGGCAGCGCGCTATGCTACCTAACGGACGACGGGGAGACGGAGGCGTCAGTCATTCTGCTCGAATCGGAGCAGTACTCGGAGAATTAGGGGAAGATGAAGCAAGAGAAGTAATCTTGGGACACGCGGAGCGTTTTTCCTGACCTCTCCCTCGCCAGCGAAGGAGAGAGGTCAAGGACGACCCGAGTTTGATGCCCGCACTTGTATTCGTATCGGAGCAATGAACGACCGTATCATCACCCCCATACGCCTGAACGTGAAAGTATCAAACAGGAGTCAAAACGCTGGAGCAAAAGCAACCATCGACTCGGCCTGCGAAGGGGTTATAGTAAACGAAACTTGGGTCAAGAGACATCGTTTCCCCACCTATACACTCAATAACCCCATTCGCGTCCGGAATGTCGATGACACCATTAACAAAGCAGGTCTCATCCGATCCGCCTTGGATGTGAACCTCACCATTCGGGACATCAGTGGACGAACGCATACCGAGCGCGTCCAGATGTTTATCTCCAATCTAGGGAAAGACGACCTTATCCTGGGAACAGATTGGTTGAAATACCACGATCCCTCCATCGAATGGAGGCGACGTGAAGTGCACTTTGATCGGTGCCCCCAGAAATGCCAGCAACCATATGGGTTCACTAGGGCAAGGGAAGAACCGCCATACGGTAGGCGGTTATCAGACGTGGAGCCACGGCACAAACCACGCATCAATGAGCGCGAAAAACAGCGCCTGGAACATCTCCGAAGACTATCAGAAGATGTAGGACTCCGCGATCACAGCGGAACGTTTGGCGTCCGACTACGAGCATACCTCAAAAGGAAATGGCTCCTAAAGGACATAAGGAAATACGCAGAAGAGAAACGAAAGGCTCGAGACGAGCCATCTCTTTCACCAAACGGGGGAGAACCTGATCTCCCAGACAAACCCTCAGGAAAACCGGCCACCCGGGACCCAGTTATTCGGAAACTGGCCCCCGAACCGTCAGGATTTGCCAGTTTCGACCAAGACCTGGAAGACGAGATTATCGTCACCAATCTAAAGGAAAGAGTTCCCAAGGCGCATCACGAATTTTTGGACATCTTTAGCGAACGAAAGTCCCAGCGACTCCCAGAACACACTTACTGGGACCATGCCATCGACTTGAAACCAACATTCAAACCTCAAGTGCCCAAAATCTACGCCCTGAGCCCAGAGAAACACGACGAATTAGGAAAATTCATCAAGGAACATCTGGAGAGAGGAACCATCCGTCGATCCACCTCGCAAACAGCAGCCCCATTTTTCTTTATAGGAAAAAAGGATGGAAAACTACGCCCGGTACAGGACTATCGCCACTTAAATTCGCACACCATCCCGAATGTGTGCCCCCTTCCACTAATCCAGGAACTACTGGATGTGATAAAAGGGGCCATCATTTTTAGCAAATTGGACGTGCGATGGGGATACAACAATATACGCATCAAAGAAGGAGATGAGTGGAAGGCGAGCTTCATCACTCCGTTAGGTTCTTACGAACCCACGGTGATGTTTTTCGGCCTGACCAACTCACCAGCCACCTTCCAAGCTATGATGAACATGATCTTCAGAGAGCTCATCACAGCCCGGAAGATAACCGTATATATGGACGACATCCTCGTCTTCTCCAAAACCATGGCGGAACACGTCAAAATCCTAAACCAGGTTTTCCAAATCCTACGCGACAACGATCTATATTTGAAACCCGAAAAATGCGAGTTTTACAAGGAAAAGCTCCAATACCTGGGATATACAATTTCAAAAGACCATGTCGCCATGGAGGACTCAAAGGTGGACGCAATAAAAGATTGGCCAATCCCACGAACAGTCCGCGACATTCGCTCCTTCCTGGGTCTAGGGAATTTTTACAGGCGCTTTATTGACAAGTTCTCACTCATCGCGCGCCCCCTACACGACCTCACCAAAAAAGACGAGAAATGGAACTGGACTACAAAATGCCAAGAAGCTTTCGAACGATTAAAGAAAGCTTTTATCAGTAAACCTGTCCTGAACTATCCAGATCCCATGCACCCATATCGACTAGTAACGGACGCATCACTAATCGCCTATGGAGCTACCCTTCTACAAGAAGGAAAAGATGGTGACTGGCACCCAGTCGCTTTCCTCTCTGGATCGTTTTCACCAGCAGAGCGGAATTACGATGTTCACGACCGGGAACTCTTGGCTATAATCAAAGCGTTGGAACATTGGAATCACTACCTCGAAGGCGCACGACACCCCTTCGAGATTTGGACAGATCATAAAAACCTGGAACACTTCCAAACGGCGCGAGACCTATCACGACGACACGCCCGTTGGAGCCTTTATTTGAGCAGATTCGACTTTACACTCAGCTATAAAGCAGGATCGACAAATCACTCTGATGCTCTGTCCAGGCGTCCAGATCTAAGTGAGGGGGTAGAATCTGACAACAAATCTCAAATTTTACTCCCGGCCAAGCTTTTCAACAAATCCGACGAAACATTGGTAGAACCGTCCCCGACACGGCATATAAAATCCACGGAAATCGCCTCCTCAAACCTCATTTCCCTCATCCGACACTCGAAATCGGAACACGATGCCCTAACGAGGGTAGCCCTCGCAAAACTCTTAAGAGTAGGACCACAAGGGATGAGAGGATTATTGGGACATTGGACATACGAAGACGGAATCACCAGACGCAACGGCCACATATGCGTCCCCAAAGACGACGTCATCCGAAGACTCATCGTCAAAACACATCACGACGCACCTGCGGTAGGACACCCGGGTAGAGCAAAAACATTGGAAATGGTGCAACGACACTACTGGTGGCAAAACATGACTAAATTCGTCCACGAATATGTGGATGGATGTGCCATATGCCAGTCTACGAAGAACTTGACACACAAGACACATCCACCTATCCACCCTCTGGAAACCACCAAC